CATCATATTGTATAGTTTACAATTCTCTCAGTGTATTTGGTATAGCGAAACAGTTTTTCTTACTGTTTGTTTTAGACTCTGTAGAGACTATCTGCTCCACATCGTTATTAATTCGATTTTTACCTTCTATTTCAATAAATAAATAATTTTTACGCTGAAGTATTGTATTATTTGCTATTAGCTTTAAATAAATATTGAAGAAACTTTTTGTTTTGTTTTGTGAATTCTAATAAACGGGCTATTCAATACTCAAAACGTTGGTATTATCACAGTAACACAACTGACGATTAGCATATTTTCATGGCAGTAAATTTCGATACAGTATATTCAGGAAACAACGACGTTAAAATACCAAGAGTAACCTCATATTTTTCAGTGAACTCTATAATAAACTCATCTCTAGCTTATTGAGAATCAACAAAAATCAAGGGAACCCCTGAAGATTTAATTCTCGATTTTAAACAACTGCTCTTTTCAGATCGATGGAAAAAAAATTACATAAGTTCAACTTACACATCTATCAAAAGCGTAAAATAAGACTGGTTCTGGTTAAAACCCAGTTTCATTTGTTTGATGAGTAGAGCTCATCTTACATTTAGTGTACGTCCCTCACCCGCAATGTTGATTATTTTAATTAAAATGATAAGTAAAGTTTTAACGAATGGTATAAAGTGCAAGATGTTATCTCCACCCCTGATATTATTATATTTTTAATACGAGGGGAAGTTTCCTTACGGTAAAGTCAATGTAGCCTCGAATACAACGTGGATTATATTGGCAAACTACACTAGAGTTATATTGGCAAACTACACTAGAGTTATATTGACAAACTACACTAGAGCCTTCAAAGGAGGGATTAAACCTCAATTAAGATTGAAGCATATCTTTAATGTTAATGACACAAATTCTTCTTAGGACTCCTCTGAAGACAACAGCATATTAGCTGTCAAAGCGTAGGATAGAAACTATTAAGCAATTAGTGACTATTAATAATAAAATAAGTGAATGATAAGTAATAAGGCTTAGGTGATTGTATAAGCTACAAACAAAAACAGAAAGGTTTGAATATAAAAGGAATAACTGGTTTTGGAGACAATAAGAATCAAACATATGTGACGCACAAGAGTAAAACGTCTGCTTTGACACATACAAAATAAAGAATGTAGTAGATTAACACAGGCAAAAAAGAATCATATAGCTTCACACTGAAGAAAAATAGCATGCGCTTTGATACACAAACTGATAACGTAGTTCACAAGAAACAAAAAGCATATTTGAAAACAATAAAGATATTTTTAATATAAATACATTTAAATTCACATTTTGAACTTTGTTACTGTCAAAAAATTATTGTTTACTTTCGGAACGTTTGATGATATTCCGTAAATGTATTTTTTTTCTAAAGTAAAACCTGATAAATTTAGTACGTGAATAATTAACGAGAAATGTGTCTTAAAGCTTCCTGTTCGAAACCACAAAATTTCTACAATGTAGGTGGTGTGATAATTTTCTTTTTTTAATTATACAATAACGATTCCACCCTGCTTGCTGTGCTTCTCATAAAACCACGTAAGTAACCCATTTTGTTTCCTAAATTTGCCCTTATTTGGATTTTACGTTATAATTCTAAAATAAAAACACTTCCCACATAGACGTAGAGTTTTTAAGTAAAAATAAGTTGAAAACACCAAAGTAACATCATTTATTTCTTCACATACACACAAAAGAAAGAAAGGATTGAAGTAACTGATACTAAAAGAAAGGTATTTCGTTGCAAAAACTTAAAATATTTTTCAAGTCATTTTAATAACTGTAAATGGGAAATTGTCTTTTTGGGGTTGTTGTACTTTACAAACTTCAAAAACTAGACCATTTCAATACACAAAAATAGAATTTTGATAAGAAGTTTTATTCGTTTATATAATTTATATTGTGAATAATTACAATTGCATGATTCCACACCAGCGTTGCCAGATGGTGAAATTTGCCACCAGATTTCGGAAATGACTGTGGACTTACATCGCTAGAAACCGGATTTAGATTCCCGTGGCGGACAGAGCACAGATAGCCAATTGTGTAGCTTTGCATTTAACTACAAACAAACAATTCTTGCAGGCTAAACGACTTCTCACCATGAACAACCAAAGCAAATTTGAAAATAATTCGAGAACTTTGGAGGAAGAAGAGTATTCAGAACGTACTGACAATGAAGGAGGAAAGCAAAATATCGATTATAATAACGTTGAACTTTTTTAGGCCGTGTTTGCAGTGTTTTTTTATGTTTGGTGAAATCTCGTGAACTTTCGATGACTGTCTGGTGTCGCGCAAGTTTTGGAATCTTCCAGCAACGCTGTTCCACAACGCGAACTTATATAAGTACTCTTTGTAGCAAAGTAACTCACGTAGTATCTGAGGCTAATTGAAATTAATGTTATTACATTGAGAATTTTGTTTTTTAATTTGAAAAAACTAACACATACAGTTACCAAATTTTTTGTCCATTTGACACACAATCGAATGAAATTTAAAGGATTAATATGTACGTTTTCATTTTGTTTGTTTTTGTCAAACAATATTCAGTAGTCTTGTCTCAACCTTCGTGAGAAGGACTAAGTCTAACAGATATGATAGCTTTTTTAATCTGATTATTATACATAATGCCAAATAAAAAATCAGATTTCTTATCACATATATTTGGAGTACTGAAAGAAGGAAGCTTTTAATTAGGAACGTGACTTATATGTTTCTTAAACACCAAAGTAAGGCATATATTTGGTGTTTCTCTATATATATTGACGCTATTTGTAAATATCAGCCTCGCGCTCAGCTATACCAGATGATAATTATAAAATTATCGTCAATCAAGTTGTTGTATAGGTGGTGCTTCAATCAAACACTTGGAAGTAATCACAGGAATTTAGATATTTGAAAATAAAAATAAAAATTCGCGGTCGCCGGCAATTTCTAAATGCAAGTATTGTTGAGAGATCGATTATTTATTATCTGCTAACTCAAGCAATACCTAACCCTGATGAAATGGTGTTTCAATCTCACTCAATGCAATCAGTTCAATAAAAAGAGTTTCTGAACAATAGTTTGTACGTGAACTCAAAATATATAATCTTACAGCACAAACTTTTAACCTTGGAGCAGGTGTTCCCAGACTTTCCCAACTCACGGCCCACCTGAGTAGCCAGGCAATTCTCGGGGGCTCATGCTCAAGTGGGGAGGTGGGGTTACTGTCCTAGTATATTTCAATGAATTATAGTAGTTCTTCTTCCTTTTTTGTTGTTGTTGTTGTTTTATTTTTTCAAAAACTTTTTAGGTTGATTATCTTGTAAATAATTAAAATTAATAATTTGTTTACGTTTCACTGTGTCTTGTTCTGCGATTCATCCTAATACTTTAATCGACGCAGAGTTTGGGAACCGCTGCCTTATAGTGACATATCAGGTCAGAAAAGTGATAGCACGATTAAATACAATAGAAACGTTGTTGTACGAGAATTATGCTTGCAGCTAGACAGCGCCCTAGATAGAGCAGCTATAGAAATTAAACATTGGAAAATTATCAATACAAGAGATTGTTGAAGGCGTGACGACGCACTATTTCAGTGCCGTACGAGGTCCAGCTTAACTTCCTGCAGGTTAGTAACATGACGAGTGTAACGTGGAAACCCGCGAGCATCTCGTGAGTACGTGTGATGTTATAACTGCCGGATCACGGGCAGAGGAAGTTGATTTGGATGTAGAACACCGTGCACCCCTAATGTCGAGTTCACATATTAAAGATCATTGAACTGGCACACGAAGTGAAAGTCGCTGATTCAAAAACAAAAAAGTAAAATGATGAAATTATGAGTAGCAAAGAGATACTGTTCTTTCTTTCTCGCCGCTAATCTGTTTGTTTTGAACTTATCTGCATGTTTGAATGTAATTATCTACGCGGTTATTTCAATGTCAGTGAAAAACTAAATTTTTATTAATACTAGCTGAGAGTATCCATTGAGGAACCAAAACATTATATGAAGGACAATGGTAGATAATACTTCCATTCCTTCTTTCTTTTCTTATTAAATCCCCAAGTTATATACTAACTTTGTGTGGAAATGTGCCCGATTTCAGGGTATGTTTACTCCCCCCCTTCTCGGACAAAATTCCTACAAGAAAATAGTTATATACACCATAAGACACTTTCCAATTAGCATACAAAAAATATGGTAATCGAACCAGCCAACAGTGGGTAATGCAAGCGCAAGGAGTATATAAAAAGAGGAAATGTGCCATCTTTCAAGTTTTTTTTTATCCCCCTTCTAATTCAAGAATCCTAAAACAAAGCAGCCAATGTACATCGTAGGCCAATTTCTAGTCACCAAACACGGTAACCAAGCCAGTCAACTCAGGGTGATGGGTGCTAACACACACACACATTTTTGCTCATTTCCATTGTAAGATCTACAAATCACACCAGATTTTGTAAATAAGTACATTAGAGTTATACATCACATTTTGTACATCTTCACTAGAGTTACACATCATAATTAGTATATTTGTACAAAATATAGCTTTTAGTGGCACAGAATAACATGTAATAACTCTAAAACTAACATTTTGGCACATGTGTTATATAAAAACTCTCGAAGTCGGCAGTATAGTACTACAGCTTTCAACTTTTCTTGTATTCGCTTGTCTAGCACAGCGTGGGATACATGCTAATAACTAAAACACCTGTTTTTTAGGCGATGGCTGCCTAACAAAGAAAGAGCCTCACCCTTCTGAAGTTGTCGGGAGAATCTCGGTCACTGGTAGGCTGCACGTGAGATTGTAGTATAATTATGACCCCTCAGGGGCAGGTGAGAACGGAAGGGCATTAGTATACTGTTTTGTATTATGTTGTAATATGGAACTATAAAAATTTATATCGTATTTTCCCTTTTTTTCCCCTCTCTTGTCCTAGAAACAGACGTTTGGTGGAATATATAAACCTTGGAGAAATGTACAAAGGATAGTTTTAGAATCTGATAGAACCGGATCATCATTCGGCAAAATCTTCTAAAAATGTTGACTAAGGTGAGTTTATCCTTCTTAAATTCGAAGTTTTGGGTACAGTAGATCTTATGTGTCAAGATAACTTTGTTATACATCTTGAATGTTTACAAAGTCCTCCAAAAACGTTTTTTTCATTTTCGTTTCACATTTCTAACTTAATTCTCTGCGAGTTCTTTCATATGTCAGTACAGTCCCATCTCTATATGATGTTTATATTTGAGCACCTAATGTTGAAAGTTGCTTACATGTTCTTGCAATGCTGGGTAGATATTAAACATCACAGGATTCTGTTAACTTACTACTGACAACGTGAAAATATTTATTAGTAGTGTAACAGAATCTTATATTAACAGGTAGCACGTTGTTAGAACACATTTGATATTAGAAATCAGAGTGTTAGAAAACGGTGATAACTTTCAGCTTGAATACAGCTTTAATAGTATCCAGATTCTTCAATATACTTAACTTTTAACTACTATTTGTATGATATGCAAGTAAGTACTAAAACAGTATAAAAAAGATATTGATATTCTTTCTCATAGTAAAATAACTAATGTCGAGGCTCTCTGTGATTGTGATTTTGGTTTCTAATGAAATCAGTTTAGACTTTTTCTTTCAGTGTAACCAAATACGTTTAACTTGTGTTAATAAGTCCAATTGTCCTCACTAGGTAGTGCTGCTGTGTTATATGGTTAGCTGGGTCTCTTCTGCTCCACTAGACTCGTATGGAACGTCACTTCCAGTACAAGCTTTTCAGCCAGCCGAGTTATACAAAGGAAGAGAGACCTATACACCTGATGTATACGAGGTATAATCGAATTAACACAAACTGTTTAATGACATACAAGTAATATAAAGTTTTAAATGTTATTCCTCGTTAGGCTAAAGTTCTTCAGTTAACAGAATAGTAAAACTTAAATTTTGGGTTATTTCAAACTTTAAAAAACAGAAATCAGTTTTAAAAATGATTTCTCATTCAAAGGTTTGCTAAAATTCAAAATACTGAAATATTTAAAGTTTTTGTTATTTTCAAGTTTAATGTAGTGATTTAGAAATTTATGATACAAAAACAATTATGGAACTACTTCCATCATTAACGAAAATAAGAATGAAATGATCTTCTCCTGCTTATCGCGGAAGGTTTGACACAATTTCGAAGCTTTCTTATTAAATACATTTTAAAATTATGTTAAAATTTTTAAAAATTGCAGGTTGTAGTTAGATTTTGACCCAGTTTGATGAAGATCATATTATGAGTTTTACAAATCAGTAAGTTTGTTCGTGTTTTAGCGCAAAACTGCGCAATGAACTATCTGCACTTATTCCTCCGAGGAGATCGAATCCCGAATTCTAGTATTATAAGTCCTCAGTATTACCACTGAGCCAAGGGTACCTATCTGTAAGCCTTGCCACCGTACATAAGTGTCAGTGTCTAGGGATTATACAACTGTGGTAAATAATCGAACTGGTGTATTTAAGTGTTTTACACTCACAAAAAAGAAACCTATCA